CAGAGAAAGGGGCCCCGTTCCTTATTTAGGGTTCCTTAGGTCCACGCCCCGACTGTATGTGCTGGGCGCGTAGCTGCATCAGGCCCAACGTGTTGTTTTGGTTGCTGTGCAGCGGCAGCGGCATCGGCGGGGCTCACGCCAAGGTGCCTTGAATCCCGCCGCTCGCCGTCGCCGCCGTCCTCTTCCGTCTGCCCGGGGGTCCGCCCCGGCGCCCCGGCTCGAGCCCACGGGAGGCGCCAGCTTGTCTCCAAGGGGACTAGGGTTCCCTTCATCGTGAAATCGAAATCTGGATCGTGATTAAAAGATCTTACACAGTGTGTGTTCCCTGCGGAGTGTTTCTGTTATGTGGTGTCTTTTACGTGGTGGATTGTCGTTTTCTACGTGGTGTTTTTGTTTGTAAGTAGTTGTTTGTGTTACGTAGTGTGTGTGTGTGTGTTTCTGTGTAGTGCTTCCTGTGTGGGTCTGCGTAGCGTTTCCTGCGTAGCGTTTCTCGCGCCGTGTTAATTGCGGTGTTCGTTACGTATTGTGGTTCTTGCGTAGTGTTTGTTTGCGGTGTTCTTTACGTCGTGTGTTTTCTGCGCAGTGTGTCCTGCATAGTTTTCCTTGCGCAGCGTTTCCTGCGTAGCGTTTCTGGCGTAGTGTGGCTCCCGGGTCGTATCTATTGCGGTGTTCTTTACGTAGTGTGTTTCCTGCGCAGTGGTTCTTGCGCTGTGTTTCTTGTGTCGTGTTTCCTGCGGTGTTCTTTACGTATTGTGGTTCCTGCGTAGTGTTTCTTGCGGTGTTCTTTACGTCGTGTGTTTTCTGCGCAGTGTGTCCTGCATAGTTATTATTGCGCAGCGTTTCCTGCGTAGCGTTTCCGGCGTATTGTGGCTCCCGCGCCGTATTTCTTGCGGTGTTCTTTACGTAGCGTGTTTTGTTTGTGTTGTGTTTCTTACGGTGTTCTTTACGTAGTGTGTTTCTTGTGTAGTCTTTCTTGCGCAGTGTGTATGCGCAGTGTTTTCGCTTATAAATACATTACGCTAGAATGAGTATGTAACAAACATTGCGCATATAACATCAATTCACGCTTAAGACCAACCCTCCCAAGGGACTCTCCGCCACGCCGTGCCCCTCCTCCTCTTGCTCTTCCTCCTCCTCCTCCTCCTCCTCCTCCTCCTCTTCCTCCTCCTCATCATCCTCCTCATCCTCATCCTCCTCCCTCTCCCCCTCCTCCTTCTCTCCCTCCTCTTCCTCGTCCTCCTCCCCCTCCTCCTCGTCCGCCTCCTCCTCCCCCCCTTCTCATCCTCCTTCTCCTCATCCTCCTTCTCCCTCTCCTCCCCCACCGCCTCCTCCTCCTCCCCCTTCTTCGTGGGCTCCCCCCTCTGCTGCTGCTGCTGCTGCTGCTCCTCCTCCTCCTCCTCCTCCTCTCCTCCTCCTCCTCTCTCCTCCTCCTCCTCCTCATCCTCCCCTCCTCCTCCCTCCTCCCTCCTCCTCCTCCTCCTCTCCTCCTCCTCCTCCTCCACCTCCTCCACCTCCTTGTCCTCCCCTCCTCCTCCTTCTCCTCCTCCTGCTCCTCCTTCTCCTCCTTCTCCTGCTCCTCCTCATCCTCCTTCTCCTCGTTTCCTCCTCCTCCTCATCCTCATTTTCTTCCTCCTCCTCCCCTCCTCCTCTCCCTCCTCCTCCTCCTCCTCCTCCTCCTCCTCCTCCTCCTCCTCCCCCTCCTCCTCCTCCTCCTCCTCCTCCTCCTCCTCCTCCTCCTCCTCCTCCTTCGTGGGCTCACCCCTCCTCGGCTGCTGCTCCCCCGGATTGCCCAGATCTCCTGGCGGCGCCCCAGGGGGGGCTTCTCAGATGGCATGGGCCTTCTTCCCTGACCTTCCAGAGTGCTGCAACATAGCCCTCCAGACCTACAGACCTATCTGAACTGCCTACCACCTCGACAGGGATTTAGATGCCGAGGTCCTGGCGTGATATTTGATTCCCCTCCTGGAAGGTCAGGGCCAGAAGGGCCCAGCGTCTTCTCAGAAGGCTTCTTACAGAAGCTGGGCGGGCTTCTCCGAACCCCTTCCTGGCCTTCTCAGAAGCTCCGTCGCCTCAGAAAGCCCCCCCCCCCCCCTTCGCGCCACCCCCTCTTTGGGGCGCCGCCAACTCGCCGACGAGCTGATTTCTGCTCACCCCTGGCGCTCTTTCACGACCTGGGCTTCGACAAGGCCCGCTCCGAGGGGCCCCAGGGCACTCAGAGACGCATATCTGGGGGGACGCAAAAAGCTGCCCCCGGGGAAGCGGTCGGGTCCGCTGGGGCAGCGGATACTGGAAAAAACCAGCTCGGCGGATGCCAAGGGCCTGTCTTTCTGAGGGTCTGGCGATGGACCCCGGGTTGCCGGGCACGCCCGCCGCACCCCTCTCCTCCCCCGGACATAACCTGACCTGCTCGGAGGCGCAGGCCCGAAAGGGGGCTACGCAAGCACCGGCGCGCGCGGGCATACGTGGGGCTGCCCAGGGCGAAACTTCTAGGCTTACCGGCCGGCATCTTTCTCCACCCCCCGGATAACTTAGGCATCGCCGAACAAGACAGATTTGGATCTCCTGGCCTATCAGATCCGGGCGCGGCTAAAACAAATGCGACGGCCAGGGTTTCTTGCTGTTTGGTTCGGCATCCGAGGGTAGCCCCTCCCCGACCCAGGGACAGGCAGCCAGCTTGGCGACGAGCCCATCCCTGTGCAGATGCGAGTGGCCATCCCTGTGCAGATGCGAGTGGCGCCGGGCGTGGCTTTCTCTTCCCATACGTCAGAGAAGGAAGCAGTACCGATACCGCTACCCTCCACCCAGTTTCCCCTTTTTCGCCCTCCTGGGAGGCGCTCGTCGCCACCGCTGGATTCGCCTTGAAATCTGGGTCAGAACGCACCCCAGGAGAGGTCGTGGGCGTAGCGGTAATTATCGGTACCAATTCACTGCCCCAGTACGGTCGGGAACGTTTGAGGCTTTGAAGCCTTTGAAACGTTTGAGCCTTTGAAGCGGTTTGGTCCACTTCGCGGTCCCGAGGCGGCAATGTCCTCAGCCTTTCCCAGGGTCCCGCCCCGCAGAGCGGTGCGACAATCTGTCCGATTGCCAGGGATAGCGTGTCGCCGGGGCCGCCGTGGCGACACGCGATGTAGAAGTTCCTGACCGCATTGCGTGCCGCAGGATTCTGTGCATGGGGGGGCGCTTGGCATGCGCGCAGACGCACACTGAACTCCTCGTGGGGCGCGAAACGCGTGGTGATGGGTGTGACAAAAAAGCGCGGGGGGCGCCATACGGGCTCTGCCGCTGGGGCCTTCGGTGTAGCCCCCTGTGGGGCCACGAAACGCGTGAAAGGTGCGCCGAAACGGGCGGGGGGACGCCATGCAGACGTCGTCACTGGGGCCTTCGGTGGAGCCTCCTTTGGGGCCACGAAACGTGTGAGTGGCGTGCTGGACTGGGCAGATGTCCAATGGGGTCTTCGGTGGAACTCCATGCGATGGCACGATACATGTGAGGGGTGTGCCGAAATGGACGGGGGATCGCATTCGAACTTGTCCACTGGGGCCGTAAGCGGATATCCGAGTGGGGCATGACCCGCGTGAGGGGTGTGCCGAAGTGGGCGGGGGGCAGCATGCGAACTTGCCCACTGAGGCCTGAAGTGGAGTTCCCTAGGGGGGCGGTCCACGCGAGCGATGTGCCGAATTGGGCGGGGGGACCGCACGCGAGCTTGCGTAGTAGGGCCGTCTGCCGAGAGGAGCGGGGGTCCGCACAGGAATTTGCCCACGGGCGCTCCAGCGGGCGAAGCCTCCGAATAGGAGCACGATACCCGTGAACGGTGTTCCGAAAGTGGGGGGGGCCCATGCGAGCATGCCCGCTGGGACCGTCGGGCGCTCCCTGTGGGCCAGGATACGCGTGAGGGCCGAGGCGAGCGGGGAACCGCATGCGAGCTTGCTCACTGGGGCCGTGGGTGGCGCACCCTGTGAGACACGGTGCGCGGGAGGGGTGTGCCGAAATGCGGGGGGGTACTGCATGCGGAGTTGCCCGCTGGGGCCGTCGGGTGGAGCTCCGCATGGGAGCACGATCCGCGTGAGTGGTGTTCCGAAGTGAAGGGGGGGTCGCGTACGAACTTGCTCACTGGGGCCGTAGGTGGAGCTCCCTGTGGGGCAAAGGTCTGTCTGAGGGGTGTGTCGAAATAGCCATGCGGAGATCAAAGGCAAGGAGTGTCGAGGAGGAGGAGGAGGAGGAGGAGGAGGAGGAGGAGGAGGAGGAGGAGGAGGAGGAGGAGGAGGAGGAGGAGGAGGAGGAGGAGGAGGAGGAGGAGGAAGGAGGAGGAGGAGGAGGAGGAGGAGGAGGAGGAGGAGGAGGAGGAGGAGGAGGAGGAGCGAGAGGGGGAGGAGCCACTTTGGCTCCAGGGACAACAGGCGGCTTCCGGCCAGAGCCCGCGCACGCCCCGCACCCTGCCAGGCCAGCCCACAGAGGCCCCATAGCCGCGAGATGCAGCCGAGCCTCTTCCGGCAGCGCCTGCTGGAGCTCGCCGCCGAGTACGAGGCCCAGCACGCGGCGGCGGCTCGATCCCCGAGGCACCGCAGCGCGGTCTCCTTCGCCGAGGCTCTAGGCCTCCCAGATGGGGTCGGAGCAGATGGGGTCGGAGGACCGTGCCGCATCGCCGAGGCATCGCCGAGGCATCGCCGAGGCATCGCCGATGCGGCTCGATGCGGAGCCCAACTTTCTCCGCGTCGGCGTCGCCGCTGCGTCGCCCATGCATCGTCGTTGCATCGGCGCCGCTGCGGCGCGACCCTCCGACGCCACCTGCTCCGACCCCCTCCTAGAGGCCTCTCGAGGCGCCCGACGGTCCGGCCGAGAACGGGGCGGCGGAGGGCAGGAGCGGCGGTGGGCCAGCCCCGGCGGCGGGCGCTTCGGCGGCCGCCGACCGTGGCGAGGGCCCGCTGGCGCCAGGAGGGAACCTCGTGGCGCTTCACGCTCCCCCCGTAGAGCCGCCGAGGCATCCCGTGGAAAGCTCGGATATGGAGTACACGGAGCCGGCGAGGAGCTCCAGAGCAAGTTCAGATCGAAGAATCAACAACGCCACAAGCATAAATTTGTGGCGCTCCGCGAGGATTTCTTGGATCCGCGCTGCGCCCCCCTGGCGGCGCCTCCGGCGCCGCTCCTGGCGCGCTCCGCGCGCCAGGGAGGGGGGTCTGGCGCAGATCCAAGATATCCGCGCGGAGTGCCAAAAGTTTATGTTTATGGCGTTTTTTGTTTCTTCTAACAGAGCCGGCGAGGAACTCCAGAGCAAGTTCAGATGGTCTCGCATCATGGCGCGGTTCGATCCCAGAGGCAGTCCCCATCGCCGGCAGGCATGTTCGCAGCAATGGCTCCGAGGCGAGTGTAACGCAGTCGGCCTCAATGCAAGAGAGAAACAGGTTCAGAAATCGCGTGAGGAGGTCGGCGATTAATAAATCCAGTAGACTATCGCAACAGCTGAGTACTAAAAATGATCTTGCCTCGTTTGTGAAGAGCCGCTTCTTCAGCGTTGTATCCGCCTCCGTCATCTTGGTGAGCACAGCGCTGATTGGTATTGAGACCCAAGCACTTTCCAGCCTGTCCAACCAAAAGTCAGGGTCGGATCACCTCTTAGTTGTTCTGTCAGTATCGAATCACTGTCTCACGTTTCTTTACCTCGCGGAGGTGGTACTGCGCATAAAAGTCTTAGGAATCATGCACCCCAAGGACAGGTGGTGGAATCTATTCGACATCGCCATCCTACTTCTGGCGCTCGCCGAAGTTGTTCTGGACATCGTCGTGCGCGCGTACTTCGGCAAGGATAGCAACCTCTTCGATAACGGTGGAATGGCGAAGATGCTGCGCCTCTTTCGCCTTGCCCGACTTCTCCGCATCGTTCGAACATTTCGCCAATTGAAGCCTTTGCGAGTGCTTGTGCATTCCATCGCATCTGCAGGCAAATCTGTTGTTTGGGCTCTCATGTTGCTCGTCATGATCGTGTTTGCCTTTGCAGTTATCTTGACGCAGGCTGTGTCTGAGCATACCGAAGGTGGCACCCGAATAGATGACGGTGATCTAGTCAAGTATTACGGAGACCTTTTCCGGTCAATGTTGAGTCTTTGGATGGCCGTGTCTGGGGGTATCAGTTGGCACGAGCTCACCGCGCCCCTGAAGGAAATGGGAAACGCCGCTTGGATAATGCTGTTTCTAACATACATTACCTTCGTATACTTCTTCGTGCTCAATGTGGTGATCGGCTCAGTTGTTGGAAGCACCTAGGGCGTTTGTTGCGTCACATCGTTTCATTGTTGCTGGTTAATAAAAGTTGTTGCTCATATTTTTCGGGTGAATGTAACCCTCGTGTCCACGTCACCGTCACGCAACGAGTTGAAATCGTTTCCCTAGTGGATTATTGGGGCGCGTTTGTGGTCTGCGGCGTCGCCTCTGTAGGCCCACCTTAGCTTCGTCCGGGGCCATCTGGGCGAAGTTGTTTGTCTGAGACAGTTTCCAACACGTTTCCAATGTGCGTTATCAGAGCGTTGTCGTCCCCTCTTCCGGTACATACTCCCTATCCATGGGAGCGTGTTCTCATAGTTTTTAAGGTTCTTTACAAAACAGTTGTTCCCAGTAGTTGTCGGCTGCAGCTTGCTTATCGTTTCCTGGTCCATGCTGCTGGCTCACAAGACGAACAAAGGTATAGCTATAACAGACACGCCCTGCACGTTTCCAACAATCACTAAGGTGACTGGTGTCTTCTGTCAGAATGCAATCGAAGGGGCTCAAACGGATCTGGATCTCACCATCGAGGCCCAGTTCAAGGAGAAGGAGGTATACGCAAACCGCCTGAAGCTGCTCTTCGAGGAGATGAATGCGGAACACGATGCCAATCACAAGGGGCTGACAGCAGCCGATATATACGAGCAGATGGAGAAGCCAAAGGTGCAGTCGTGGTTCAAGGCTATGGACATCGACGCGAAGCAGGCGTGGAAGTTGTTCAAGGCCCTCGACCCGGCAAACTCTGGCATCATCTCTCTGCAGGATTTCGTGGAGGGGTGCCTGCAGATGAAGGGGTCGGCCACGCGCGTGGACGTGGAGTCGCTGAAGTGGGAGATCAGAGCTGCGAATAGGCGCGCCGAGCGCAATGCTGAGAGAATCGCCCAGCTTCTAGAAGCCATTCCAGGATCGGAGGTCGCACTTGGCGCCGCCTGTCGCGGATCTGGTGCCGGGTGACGGAGGTGGGCTCAATGCCTCCTCGTTTTCTTCCCCCTCCTCTTTGGGAGGGGGAGCCGGGGCATGCCGGTTGCTCTGCAGCTGCGAGGTGTACGCGACAACCTAGAATGGTTAGTTCTTGGTTTTTGCGAATCGTTGTTTTTGAGCTCCCTGAGCGCACTAAGCTGTCTCGGGTGGGCAGGGAGTCACGGCCGACCTGGTCTGCTCACCGTTCCTTGATCTGTTAGATTTGGAAGACCAGTCTTCTTACAGTCTCCATGTTCCCGTGCCCACCTCGAGTCGCCAGTCGGCGTCTGGCGCTCACAGCCGACGCTGCGGACTCAGACGGGGCATGCATCCATACGAAGCTGTGTGTACGAGTATGTGCTGGGCGCGTAGCTGCATCAGGCCCATCGTGTTGTTTTTTTTGCTGTGCAGGGCAGCGGCATCGGCATCTTTCTCCCATCTGATCTGACGCGGGGCGCACGCCAAGGTGCCTTGAATCCCGCTGCTCGCCGCCGTCCTCTTCCGTCTGCCCGGGCGTCCGCCCCGGCGCCCCGGCTCGAGCCCGCGGGAGGCGCCAGCTTGCCTCCAAGAGGACTATAGGGTTCCCTTCATCGTGAAATCGAAATCTGGATCGTAATTATACATGTACTGGGGGACCGGATCCGGGGGCCGGGGGCCGGAGCCCCGACCACAAATGTGGGGCCCGGCGCGCCGGGAGCCCTGCCGGAGCGCCAGGGGCCGTCCAAGATTGCCCGAAGATGGCTTCGGAACGCTCAAAAACGCGCTCCGATGGCTCCGGATGCGTTTCAAGACGACTCCCATGACGCCAAGAAGGCCCTCGGCCGAAGACGCCCGAAGAGGCACCCCGAGAGAGCTCCAAACAGCAAGAATCGTTGATTTCCTATAGGGAAGCTGATGTTTTTGGCGTGTTCGCCTTTTGGGCTTCCACTGTGTCCAAGACGGCCCAAGAAGCACCCAAGACGGTCGAGGATGCCCCCAAGAGGGCCCCAAGACGGCCCACGAGGGGTTGATGTGAGGACGATGTAGAGGCCAGTCGGCTTCGCCATGGTAGCGACACGACCATGGGTCGGGTTGCCAGCTTTCTGGCTGGAGTCCTGCTTCGGGCAGACCATGATGAAAGCAGTGCAGGCGTTGCGTCCTGTCTGCGTCCATTCACCCGAGCCTTGTCTCGCATCTTCTACGAGCACCCTCCCTCCTCGAATGGCCAGCCTCGGCTAAGGGCTTCAGGAAGAGGCAGCCCGCGTGCGGCACGGTCCTCCCCGCGCCAGAAATATATCGACGTGTGGGCGCGGCGCGCGGCATCGTTTCACGCGGCGGGCAGGTCGCCAGAGACGGCCTCATAGCGAGGATCGTCAGCCGTTTTGTCTCCACGGTTATGGGTGCTCAAGGGCCGACGTGTTTGAGCCTGGAACCCTTCGCAGCGGTTCCGCAACCGATGTCGCCTCTCAGCAGCGCGCATCCCGCGGGAGCGGTCATGTGTGAGACATTGGTCCATCTGAGAGAGCGTGCAAAAAAAAGACTGCCCACGAGGGGGCCAAGACGGCTTCCGAGGCGCACAAACCGCCCAAGAACGCCCCGAGTCGGCGCCCAAGTCGGGGACGAGGAACCGAAGATTCGAGCGCGTTGGCCCAAGAGGCCCCCAGGAGACCCCAAGAGGCTCCAAGAAGCGCCCCAGAAGCTCCAAGAGGCCCCCAAGAGACCCGCAAAAACACCAAAAGAGGCCCCGAAACAGACCTCCAATGGCACCACCAAAACGGCCCAAGAGAGCCCCAGGGCGCGCCCAAGAGGGTCGACCAGAGAGCTGGTCCGATTTTTCACACTCTACACAGGGTCCGTCCCCGGCAGTGCATCAAACAGGTGTTGCTTGTGGAGTCCTCACTTGCCTGAGACAAACTCCGAACATGTTTTCGCACAGCGATCCCTGTGTCTGTGACGCGCTAGAACCTAAGCGCACGCGAAGCGCGCGTGGTTCTTATATGTATATATATATATATATATAGATATATACCTATACATATGTGTATTTATATTCATATATATATATATGTATACATACATATATATATATATATATATATATATATACATACATACATACATACATACATACATACACATAGATATACACCCACGCATATATCGGAGTAGGCTGGGGGGGGGGCGGGCCGGTGCCACCCTCCTTCATGGGCGCCCCCCGGGACCTGTGGGGGTCACAGACCCCCCCAGGACTGCCCCGGGCCGCTTCCAAATTGCCCACGACAGGCCACGCGGGCCGTACAGATGGTCAAGGAAGTCTCAGGAGGCCCCGAAGACGCCCAAGATGGCCCCAAGACAGCCCAAGAAGCCCCGAAGCCGCCCCAAGAGGCTTCAAAGAAGCATCCCAAGAGCGCCCCGAGAGGCCAAAATTTTCTTCAAGAGCGCCCCAAGACTGCCTGGGAGGCCCCCCAGACGGCCTCAAGACGGCCCAGCCCCCAAGACAGCCCAAGAGGCGCCCCATAGGACCATAGAAAGCCCAAGAGGGCCCCGAGAAGGCTTCCAGAGGGGCCCACGAGGGGGAACAAAAAGTCAAAATTTTATTTTTCCGCCCTGGAAGCTTCCCAGGAGGCCCCGAGAGAGCCCCAAGACGCGCCAAGGAGGCCCCCAAGAGGCCCCGAGGAGGTCCCCAAGAGGCCCCCAAAAGACCCCAAGAGGCCCCAACACGAGCGCCACCCCCGCCCCCTCCGTCAAGTTGCTTCACGCCGCGCTACGTAGACGCCGTCGCGCAAACCTCTCGGGCCTGGGCGGTTCCGGGAGATGTTCCCAGAGGGGCCTCCTGGAACATC